GGTGGCTGCGCTTCTCCTTTTCTCTCGACCCACCCTTGCCCACCTTATCCTGTCCCATCTCACCTTATCAGATCTCTCTCCCCTTGTCCTGAGCCTTCCTTAACACACATCTTCAACTCTCTCTTCCTTAACACACATCAGCGCTCTCTCTTCTGGCATTGTCCCTGCTAACCTTAAACATGCCAATGTAGTATATATCCTGAAAAAACCCAACTCTCGACCCAACCTCCCCCCTCTAACTATGGTCCCATATCCCTGCTCCCTTTTTCCTCAAAGCTTCTGGAAAGACTTGTCTTTACCCGTGTGACTCACTTCCTCAATTCCAACTCTCTCCTTGACCCTCTTCAATCTGGCTTCCGCCCCCTCCACTCTACTGAGACTGATTTTATCAAAGTTACTAACGACCTAATTGCAGCTAAATCCAAAGGCCACTACTCCATACGAATTCTTCTTGACCTCTCTGCTGCCTTTGACACCGTTGATCATACTCTCCTTTTCAAACTCTTCAATCACTCGGTCTCTGTGACTCTGTCCTCTCATGGTTTTCCTCTTCTCTCCCAATGCTCATTCAGTGTCTCATTTTCTAATGATACCTCCTCCTTTTGTCCTGTCTCGGTTGGAGTCCCCCAAGGCTCTGTCTTTGGTCCCCTTCTATTTTCTCTTTATATTGCCTCTCTTGGCAAACTTATTACCTCATTTGGATTCCACTACCACCTGTACGCTGATGACACCCAGAAATCTCTCTCCTCCCCGGACCTATCCCCTGCTGTTCTGCAATGTGTTACTGCTTGCCTTCCTTCCATCTCTGACTGGATGTCCTCCTGCTTTATGAAACTCAATCTCGCTAAAACTGAGCTCCTTGTCTTTCCTCCTAATACTGATCCTCCTCTTTCGCTCTCCCTTCAAGTTAGTGGTATCCACATCAGTCCATCCTTGCAAGTCCGCTGTCTTGGTGTCATACTTGATTCTGGCCTCACATCCAGCATGTTACCAAGTCCTCTAGATTCCATCTTAAAAACATAGCCCACATCCGCCCCTTTCTTACGCAAGATGCTACTAAGGAGCTTGTCCATGCTCTAGTAGATTCCTGCATAGATTATTGTAACCCTCTCCTGATTGGTCTTCCTAAAAACCGTATTGCCCCCCTGCAGTCTGTAATGAATGCTACCGCCACACTGATTTTCCTCTCTAGTCGGTTTTCTCACACCTCACCCCTCGGTCAGTCCTTACGTTGGCTTCCTGTGTCCTATAGGTGTCAATTCAAAAGTGCTAACCCATACCTATAAAACATTGACCAATTCTAGCCCCTCATATCTCTTCACAGATCCATAGGTATGCCCCTTCTTTGTCTCTCTGCTCTGCCCGCTGCTTGCAATGTGTACAACCAACTCACACTTGCAGGACTTCCTTCCTATGGAATAGCCTGCCTACCGCCATCAGACTCTCCCCTAGTCTTCAATAGTTTAAGAAGTGCCTTAAAACTTCCCAACTCCTATAGACTGTAAGCTTTATTGAGCAGGGTCCTCTTCAACCTATTGTTCCTGTAAGTTTTCTTGTAATGGTCCTATTTATAGTTAAATCCCCCTCTTATAATATTGTAAAGTGCTATGGAATCTGTTGGCGCTATATTAATGGCAATATTATTATTAATAATAGGGGACACGAGTCAGTGTACTCATTTAGCACCCTGCACCTTTTATAACTGCATGAATCCCGAAATTAACCCTCAACAGTTGCGCACTTGCTATATATTTTTTTGCATATTTTTTAGATGCACTCCAGGGCGACACGTCGCCTTTTTCAGCAGGGACTGAGCATGTTCTATAAAGGAACAACCCATGCAGCATAACCAGTAATCCAAACAGCATGACTGACATGCACCCTGCCCTCTACCCCTTCCAATGTCCATATCTCCCAAGGACGAAGAGTATGAAGGTCTGACAGCAATGATTAAATGGATCCCCAAGTACGATGGCTCCCCTGTGGGATTCCACATACACACGTCTGACTGCCACAGATTGCAGCAGTGTCAAAAGCCATACATTACTGTTCTAGAATCTGACAGTCAAACACTGAATTGTATAATATGTACAGCCCATTCCGTGTCCTCCTATTAATATATATGAAAGCATTGATCTCACTCTCTACCAATAATAATTATCCTTTATACCAGTCAGCTAGAGATCCACCTGATTGGGGCTCTCATCACTAAGCGATGCACAAAGGGATCTTTTTTTATTTTTTACCTCTTTCTCCCCCCCGCAATATTCATAAGTTATTTACATATAAAGCATTAACAAATGTAGGGGGACGTTTTACATGGTCAATACCTTTTTAAATAGTAAAAATTTTTATATATATATCAATGTTTTAATTTGCTGTGCTTTAGTCATTAAATGGACCTTGTTAGGAGAACCATTAAGGAGCCTGTGATAATGATTAAAGGATAAAAAAAATATATATATAATGTTCCCCGAACGCCACTAAAGAGATTGATTTGAAATAAGCGGTGGGATCCTTCCATTACTGCAGCCATTCCAGGTCCTGCTGGCCCTCTCTATGATTTGGAAATGTGCTAACAGCAGCCACAGCGCTGTAATGCACAAGGCTTGCATTTGTCTAGATAGTTATTCCTTTGTCGAATGAATCCTTTTAGGGCAGTTCTTGTTAAATATATTGTCTTATCCCACTGCTACATTAATGTACCATTTGAGACCTTTCATTTGTTTATTGATACATAGCTGAATTAGAACCTTACAGACCTCTGCCTTATTGAAAAGCAAGGATTCCTTAGTTTGTCATTCTAAGTATTACAGAAATTTTCAACCAGTTTACCACAAACCACCTCGATGTGTCACAATCTCATTGACGTCAGATTGGGAATAGGTACAGTGCAGTCCTTATATATGTCGGCATTAAAATTATGTTTCACTTCTGTCAATTAAATAAAAATATTAAAGTTTAAGCTAGTTTTATGGATTATACATCTCTCTGGTAAAGCTGCAATTAAAAGTGACATTTATAAGACACAAATGAAGGCTAAAAACAAAAAAGTAGGTGATGTGTGTTGGAATGTTGTTCTCATTGTAGTGAAGCCCAGGGACCAGCAAAGCTAAGGGAATGGACCTTGACAATGCTAGGAGGCATGCATATAGAGTGGTTGATATTAATTGGTTAAGGGGTCTGTGGGGGTGGAGCTTAAATTGATATCAGATATATTCTTCACATGGTTACATTTGTTAATTGGTAGGTTGGAGCCCGAAGGTGGCTTTCAACCTGGGTGTGTGGGGGTATCTTGGTATACCCCTAAAATGTTAAATCACTTGGAGTATGATGCCTGTTGTGGCTGTGTCTTGTGTTATGTTGTTCATATTTTGTTTTATAGATTATTGTTATATGTTATGGGTCACTGTCAGTGGGTATAGTAGTGTTAAAAGTTGGGGTGAATTTATGTGTCTGTTAAATTTGGGTATGTTTGGCAATGACCCATTTTGTCATTTATATATTTAATTATATATTTATTTTATTAAAACCTTGCTATTTTATCCACCTTAAATCTGGTGTCTGTGTCTTTTTGGGGGTTTAAGGTTAGGTTATTGTATTCATGACATATGCAAAAGGACGACTATGCGAATGTCATGTGTCGTGGTCCAGAAAAAAGGTTGGAAAGCAATGTGATACTGTGTATTCTGTATACATCCACGACCTGTTACTGATATAAATATATATTTATATCAGCATGTAAAAGGTTGGAAAGCAATGTAATACTGTGTATTCTGTATACATCCATGATCTGTTACTGATATATATTTATATCAGCATGTAATAGGTAGGGAAGCTATGTACAATCCAGGTGCACTACGGCAGGCAATCTTCGGTACACCAGATGTTGGTGACTACATCTCCCATAATGCTCCTACATCCATAAAACTTAAACTCAATTACCAGATTCTAGTGATGAGATCCCTCAGTGCTGGATCGGACTCCACCACTGATGTCAGACGATTTGGGGACCTATGTGAGCATTAGGCCTTTCCCATAGAAAAGCATTGAATCAATGCTTTCCTAAAGGGGGTTTGAAGGTGTTGGACGTTCTAATAAAAAAAGTGAGAAAAAATGTGAGACCGGCTAGTGCTATTTTTCACGGAGTCAAATTCAGTGAAACTGCAGGAAGTGCCTCTACTGGCTGTCTGTTAGACAACCGATTTATATTGTGGATACGCTGTTCAAATGATTTCAAAATATTAAAATTGTCAAAAAATATAATTACAAAATTTTATATTTCTTATACTATTAAATCATTTACAAGTTAATCCAAAAATGTTAAATCATTTGAAAAGAGAAAATGTAGTAAAACACTAAACTATCACCTCCTGTTCCTATATGTCTTACATGTTTAGTTAGAATTAACTGTTTGTCTCGTTTCCTATTGTACAGTGCTGCGTAATAGGTTGATGCTATATAAATACTTATTCAAACCAATATTCTTTTTATGCACCTTTATTTATAAAAAACAACTCAGCACTTTGTCATGTTATACATTTATAAAGAGCTAATGTGTCCTTTTAAGTCAAAATAGCTAAAGTCAACTGTATTTTCTTAGTTATTTTAACCTGTAATTAGAAAGTCACTTTGAATTCCAGACACTTCAATGAATAACCCTTTCAAAGTTAAAACATGTTTAGAACTATGTATTTACTGACTGAAACGTGTCAGAAATGCACCACTAGCTTTGTCTGCAGGTCCCTCCACCCCTCTGTTCCTGTACATCCAGTTGTCTGGTTACAATTACATGTCTGTTAGTCCACCCATTGTACAGCGCTACGGAGTCTGATGGCGCTATATAAATAATAAAACAATAATAATCTTTTCTGGCATTCGAGAAATTGTAATGTTGCTACTAATAAACACACACAAGCACAGCATTTAACATTTTCATGCTTTTATTTTCGATAAGAATAGAAACAGGTGTAAATTGTACAGCAATACATAACAACCATCTTTGTTCTGTTGATTTCTAAAGATTTTTTTTTTATACAGTATTTATATATTTATATAAAAACAAAGTGTATTACATATATATAAAAAATAAAAAGGTATAGTAGATGTAAAGGCTTTCAAACAACATATTCAATTCTTACAATATGGTGGTAAACAGCCCTCTAATGGTGCAATTTGGGTTTAAACATTCTCTCAGCAATGCGTCCAGAGGAGTAATCAAAGGCAATTCTGTATATTCTTGGAAGGCTCGACTCCTTCTGAGCAGAAGGCTGTGCCTACTTTTCACACAAGCGCAATTAGACATCATGCTATGTCACTTCACGTAATCCTCAATTGTACCCACCTAGTGCAGTTTGAATCTCTCTCCTAATTCTTGAATCGGTCTGCTGTTTCCTTACTGCACAAACAAAATCATTCTGATCTTTTGATGCAAGCACCGCACAAAAGAATTGTGCCTGAATAACTCAATAGATTAATACGTGCTTTTTTTAACGCCTTCACTCACATTACATAGGTAAGATTTTATGTTACAGACTTAAGAGAAGGTGTAGAAAGTCAGACCTGTTATTTCCATTGAAAAATGACCAGAAAATGGCAATTATTTAAGGATTATACTTATTTAAACTAGGGGCAGTTACTTTATTTGTATGGACTTCCTGTTTTAAATTGGAAAGAAAAAAAAAAGTAAAAAGCAGTTAAAGGGTTACTTTAACAATGGTTACCACTTCAGTGTTTTGAAGTGGTAATGGTGTTTGGATTCTGTATGTGCAATTTTTCAAACTGACATACAGACGTAAACCACATTGTTTTTTGTTGTTGAGACTCTCTCTTTTAACAGTGAGTCCAGAAAGGGACTCAACCATATAAAATGTCAATTACATGTAAAGGTGTGGATTTTAACAATTTATAAAGCATTTTATCTTGAGTCCCAACTGTGCTTTAAATATCCTTTCATATCTAATCTCATAAAAAGTTCTGCATTTAATATAAAAAGGTCAGATAGCTATATAAAGTATTCTAAAATAGTTTTAATAAAGATTGATTCTAATTAGAAAAGGCCCACAACATAGATCCCTGTTCTATGACAACCATAAGTATGTCACAGAATTTTTACTCAATGCTCCTTTTTTCCAATCCAACAAAAAAATAGCAGTATACAGAAACGCCTCACTGGCAGGGTGGGTAAATTAACACTTTGATAAATTCTCCACTTCTCTCTTCAGCCATTGAAGTTAATTATACCTAGGTGCATAAGAGAGCCACTCTCTAAAACCACATGTCTGTCATGTTAGATAAGGGCAGGTATTTTTTATGCAAGTACAGAACATTTTAATCAGCCCTCCTGTATTAGTGGTGATTAGAATTGCATCTATGTAACTGTGCTATTCAAACTAAGAGCATTTTTATGGTGCAGTTCAAACAGGCAGGTCATAGGTGTCTGCTTTGACCTCCCACATCAACCTGTCACAGAGTAGTTAAAGGGGCCATGAGAACCGTACGACTTCTTCTATCATAGAAACCACTGTTAATCAGGCAGGAACGGAAAAAGTAATTGGAGATCAGAGAAATCCTGTAACAGAACAGGCGGATAAAGCCTTGGACGAAAGAAAACATCAGGTTAATGAACTGTAAGGAGATAAAGTGTGCTGATGTGAACTTATAGTAAATCCAACAAAATATAATGAAAATTGTTCCCAGACCTTGTCTGCTTGCTGCATGAAAACCCAAAGCAGATCCTCTATCTATGCCAAACCAGGCTTTCTACAAATGAAAATTCTGTTTCACATTCTTTACAAGTTGTGGTCGTAGGGCTCGACTCCTGCCAACACGTCCTTCCCAGCCCCTTCATAATAACCAGAACCCCCCCAACCGACCTGCCATGCTGGGTTTTATTCTCTGATATCCACTTTCTGTGTGAAAAACTAAGATGGATATTTCAAAATGACAGCTTCCCAGATTTATTGAGACAGAATAAAACCTCACTACCCTAAAAACCAGCGCTGTTCGAGAAATGTTGTTCCAGTTAGACATAACCTAATATCACGTGTTAGAATTATGTTCTAAGGTTAAACAGACAGGTCCAATGTGTATGCCAGAGTCTTAAAAATTTGGCCACAAACTCAGATTTAGTCCTTGTGTGAACTGTTCATCCTACTCCATTAACCCATGATACACACTCCTTTGGTTCCAGGTGTATGGACTGAAAATAGAAAACATGGCTTCAAGAAACAACTCCCTAATAATGATAGCGTTTGTGTGTGTGCTTATCCCTAACTTGTATAAATGAATCAGAACCTGTAATATGGTCTTTAGATCTTGGTAATTAAAGGAACACTATAGGGTCAGGAACACAAACCTGTTTTCCTGACCCTATAGTGTTAAAACATCCATCTAGCCGCTCTGGACCCCACCTTTCCAACTTAAATATAGTAAACTCTTACTTGTATTCAAGACTGTAGCTTCTGGCTTTGGCTCTGCCTCTGACCTGCCCCAGTCTGCTGACATCAGCAGGAGTGGTGGTCTGAGCCAATCGCAATACTTCCCCACAGGATTGGCTGAGACTGTCAAGGAGGCAAATCCGGGACAGAGCCAGAACAAGTCAAGCAAAGCCCTGGCCAATCAGCAACTCCTCATAGAGATGCATTGAATCAATGCTATGAGGAAAGTTTAGTGAGGAAAGTTTAGTGTCTGCATGCAGAGGGTGGAGACACTGAATGGCAATGCTGCTTACTATGCAGCACTGAGAAAGGAAGCACCTCTAGCAGCCACCTAAAGGAGTGGGCAGTGGAGTTATCACTAGGCTGTAATGTAAACACTGCATTTTCCATGAAAAAACAGTGTTTACAGCAAAAAGCTGTAATTGTTCTGGTGACTATAATGTCCCATTAACATTTAGTGTGTGAACTGTGAATTCAGAACGAGGCCTCTTGATACAGTAACAAACATATCGGTTTAAGAAAACAAAATGACTTCTTTAAGTTAGGTCTTTTGCAGTAACTGATATTAGGGAGTAGACTAAAATGTGATGACTGATAAAGCTGGGACGGAAGAGGTTAATATTTTGGAGGGAACAAATTCATGTTTTCTGAGAGCAAATGAATCTGAGATGCACATCAGACAGTTCTGCGTGTTTGAATGTTCCAACGGACGGCACTCTTCCAAACAAAAGTGATTCATGCCAGAACAATGGGCTAGAAAGAGGAACAAATAGTTTGTTAGAACCACGAAAGTTGTTTTTGGAAGAAGTTTGGAATGCTCAAGTGGATGATGTATTTCTGCTGAGAAGCATGGCCGTTAATTATGTCCCTCTTTCCCTGTATCAGCACACTTCAAGTTGAAATCTCAGTACTGTTTACAATTTTCATTATGACTTTTAAATTCAGTTTGTGAAGGACCTTAGCTGTTTTGCAAAGCAGATATATGGTCAATGTGAGTAGTACAGTTTTGGCAATGAAAGGTAGACCTTATTAGTCAGAAAAATTGCTTTACACATCAGTTCATTAGATTTGATACATATAGCTCCCCACTTCAACAGCAAATACGATTAATTCATTTTCAAAGGAAAATTATTTCATATATTTTATATTATGTTAGAATCCATAACACTGTGGGATTTATTCACAAAACACTGAATTGTAATGATTTGATAACTGAATTGCAATATTTAAAAAGTATCAAACTGTAACTATAGTTGATCTAAAGTTTTTTTCCCCCCAACTTGGCCAATATTTGCAATTTGATTTTCAATTCGCTACAATTTGATGTTTAGTGAGTAAACACCTATGATTATATTACATTCTATTTATTGTAAAAGGCACAGGTTAAAAAAGGTTAAGTACAAAATAAAATTTACACCCAACCTCCCTTAGAAAACCCAAATCCATGATATTCATAAAAATATGAAAGCATCTGCAAAAATACCCCATTGAAAAGGCAACGGGTATACGAAATATAATATTCCTGGCACACTTTGTTGGTCTTTAACTGGTTTGTAAAATTCATTACTAGAGATGTCGCGAACCGTCCGCGAACGGTTCGCCACGGGTTCGCGGCGAACTCCGGTCAGCTGACACATCCCGGCCAATCTCCAGCAGACCCTCCCTCCCAGACCCTCCTACTTCCTGGACAGCATCCATGTTTAAGGCAGCTTCAACATGGATGCTGTCCAGGAGGTGGGAGGGTCTGGGAGGGAGGGTCTGCCGAAGATTGGCAAGGATGTGTCAGCTGACCAGAGTTCGTGGTGAACCGTTCGCGGGAAGTTCGCGGACGGTTCGCGACATCTCTATTCATTACGTGTGACTAAGAATACCTGCAAAATAATCTTGTTATATCAATTTACGCGTGACTGTAGATTAATATGAACTTGATGTGCATATGTTAAACCGGATCTATTATTATTATTGCCATTTATATAGCGCCAACAGATTCCGTAGTGCTTTACAATGTTATGAGACCTGGACTACATCAGTTTCGGGCAGGTAAATAAAAATGTACACATTTACGTTTTTTTTTTGCTAAATAGTGAATTATTGATAATTCAACATTCTAGGCCGGAATAGACAAACTGAAATTTTAGCTGACTTGAACGACTTTTCTAATTTGGAAATATTGGCCTAAACGTTCACTGCTGACAAATTACACCTTAGTGAATAAACCAGCTATATATCTTTTACAAAAAGCTTTTGTAGTTAGGTTTTCTGTTGTTTTGTCTAAGTGGTAAATCCAATCAAATTCACCTGCATTTGTCAAAAAACATTTGATCAAAATCACATTGTACAATGCCTTACATTTGCCCACTCAGGGGGTCTGGCATCTTGCAGAGCTCACTGTTTTGGGGGGAAATTAGAAACAGATTTGCCAATCTCGTATGAGGGAATGCAAGCAATGGCTACACTGACAATGTGGATTCTTTTTGTATGTCACAGTCCTAAATATATAGAGATAACCGATAATGCTTTAATGTTAAAAATAAACCTTCCTTGTGGCTAATTACATTTTGCACCTGTGATTACAGCACATTACCAGAAACTCTATAGAGAAGGATCTAAATTGCCTCAGAATAAACCACTTTTTTCTATTATCTAAAAAGCTATGCCTTATTTACTGTACGTTTCATCTGCACCTGTGTTTGCATTGCAGTACACAACCAGCTCTCTTACAAATAGAAGGAATGCATACACATCTACCTGAACGGAATAAGACAGGTCCAGCATATCCACCTATCTTCTACAGCAACGATTAAAACATAAACTCAGGTGCAATAGACACAGTATGCAACTGTACAGGTAAGCATCGGTTCTGCTCTACGTAATTAATTTCAGAGGATGTCAAATGTTATTCTGCACAAGTTATTTATCCGGTTATCTTTTTTTTAAATTGTTTAAATGGTGTTAGTTTTTTTTAATCTTATTTTAATAGTCAGTGTTCTTTCTGAAATGCCTCTTCACCTCCTGCTCTGACTTAATATATAAAATGGTACCTAGCCAACATGAGTCCTACAGCTCATACCCCCTCTCGGCTTCAAGGAGTATATACTTGCATTGGTCAAATAGTTCATTATTATTCAGCAGTGAAACAGATTCTAAATATGAGTGAGGAAGACTATATAGCCATAAAACTTCACAGATGGAAGCACAGTTTGGAAAAATCTTATAGATTTAATCATAGACTAGAGGAATAAGCAGTAGAAGGCCAATGTGTCACACCAAAGTACCTTGAAGGACATATTGTTGGATAGTGACATTAAAGACATTATTCTTGGAGCTTCCTAATGTATTACGACTTTAGAACTTAAAGTGACTACAGTTCATTGTAGTGGAAATGGGGCAAACAGTGTTTGGATTATGTCAAATGTTGTTGGATGGATAATTTGAAAGTTCCCAGATGCAGAAAAGGAACCAGGTATTAGGTGTGACGGAGACATAGTTGTCTTTTGTCAAATGACTCCAATGTTTTGATACAAACTCGGTTGGGCAGACGCCAAAGGCTCTTTGTCCATAACTAGTACAATGAACAGTAGTAGTAATGGTGTTTTTGATTGTTCAGTTAAAGAGAGGATTATGGTGGTTGGAGTTTCGTAACTATGAAATGGACTCTTCCACTGGCAGGAGTCTCAGTTGTGCAAACCACCCCAACGTTGACTGTTTTATGGAGCCAAATTAAACTGCTGCACCGAGCTGTTGAGACAAAGTAAGTCTTATTATTGTAATAAAAATTGACACAGCTCATGCTGTTTTTCTTGGCCTTACTACACCGTGTCTGAGTCACAGTCAAATTCATCTTATTGAGCCTTTCCATTCTTTTAGCTGGCCCTCCACCAGACCATAATGATGACCATCGAGGGAGACAAAAAAAAACCACCCCAGGGTATCCTTTTTATAATGGCTGTGCTGTTCAACATCCACTCTGAGTTCCTAAAAAAACAGCAGGGAAAGTGTTGGCTGAATAAAACGCGCGCACACACATCACACACACAAAGCATAGCCAGAGGTTGGCAATGTTCAGTTACTGTGATACATTTTTCACAGTAAAAAGCATTGCAGTGACAGAATATATTGATTGCACACTTAGTATGGGATCAATACATTCTGCAGACTGAATTCATTCCGAACATGAACTTTACTTGTACCCTTCAGCTCCTTTTCTTGTTTTGGTCATTATTGTGTTTTTTTGTACCAGCATTATCTTTTTTTTTCAAGTGGTTTGAAAAAAAGTCCTGGTTTTACTAATGCCCTTAGATGAGCAAGAGTATTTCAATAATTCTAAGTGACTCACCAGGCTCAAGCAGAGATATATTGGAAACACTTGACTCTCTTTGAGAGTAAAATGAAAAATATAGCTAAATGAAAGGAAGTCTATGAGAGTTTACAATATATTTGCGTTTAATGCATGTGGGTAATAGTCTTCAAAAAATAAACAACCAAACCCCCTCCCCCCAAAAAAATGCAAAGGAATAATAGATTGCATGTGCTGTTTTCTTTCAGAAGCTTAGAGGAGCCATTTTCTTTTGCACTTGCTGTTGCATCTTATATCTACTGATTTCTTTGGAAGTGCTCAAAAAATATTACAAATGTATGACTTTTATAAAGTATTCCTATACCAGTAGATAGAGTGTCAAATTCAGGAACCAATCAAATACCTTAACGATGCTTAAAGGGACAGTTTAGGCATCACAACAACTTCATCTAAATTAAGTTGTTATGGTGGAAGGAGGCCCCAGGACCCACTCTGACCTCAATGGGTTTAACCTCAAAGTGAGCCTCCAGCGCCGATCTCCACTCCCCCCAGGCGGCATCCGGCTTCAAGCATGATTTACCCCCTTGAGGTAAAAGTGCGCTCTGGGTCTCCTGGCACCATTACAACTTAATTAAGATGAGGTGGTTATGGTGCCTGGAGTGTTCCTTTAAAAGTAGATTTGTATATTACATAATGGTACAATTGATTGGTGCAACCTTGACACATTACCCTGACACCATAATACATTAAAATTACATGTTTTTACAGGTATTTGGGTGTTTTTTTAACTTTTTACTGGTTTTTGATTCATCGTATGTGTATCTTTAATGAGCATTTAAAGGCTGATCGGCAGAGGAGACCCAGTCAATTGAAAGTTTTTAATGCACTTGGGAGTATTCTTGTGCTGCAGTTTACAGTGTGAGATATACAGTCAAGCTACTTGTGCTTTCTGTACAGCACCATATAAAACATCAGGGGATAATTAGCCACTGTATCATGAGCCTTTTAAAAAGTATGATTTTACACAGTGATACTGGTCCACATTGAAAACAAGAACAAGCACAGTAAATTGCTATAATTAGTTGTACCTCACATTATGAATATTCAATAGCAGTACCTAGAGGAATGATTTTACTGTAAAGTACAAGAATCAAAATAGTTATAAATAGTGGTTATACAAGAATGAATAAGAAAATCTGTCCATCCAAAATCATATAAAATATTACATTAACTATAGGTGGATCACATGTATGTTTGGATTAATATAGGATCCTCCTTTGATAATGCAGGAAAGGCACACACATTATCCATTCAGTAATATTTGTAACAGTATCCATAAATGTGCCAAGTGTAATATTGAATGTGAACCTCTTCTTAATACAATCTTCTCTTTACTGGGATGAGAAAGTACCTGAATATAATACCTAGGGCAGCTAACCGATAACTCTCCAAACATTGACGACTAGCTAATAATGAAATAATCTGTATCCAAACAATTTCCGCTAAATGAAATTGTAGTCAAATGGAGACTCTCATTTAACTATTTCAAGTACAGAAAATTGCTAAATATAAGTGAAAATATATCAAAGGCATATTCTTGACATAAAGCACTTTTTTGAGGATTATTGCTTAAAAGAAGGCCATTGTAACACCTTTTATATAAGGTACCGTCAAACTGGTTTGGCATATATATTCATTGAATGTAAACCTGACTGTGTCCATTCATCTAAGATGACATAGTCATGCATTGACTCTTCTTCATTGGTAAAGAGTGTCTGGAACTCAAGTTGGGCTATACAGCTGCAGTCATAGGGTTCTTTTGTCGTGGGTCTTGAGGTCGATACTGATAGCGATCTGCCCCAGATCTTCCTCCACTGCTGTAGCCTGGTAATCTCTGTCCTGGTAGAGGAGAAGGTGGGACATCTTGCCGGAGTGGACCCTTTGTTGAATGAGGCTGATATGGAGGGAAACGATAGTTGTCTTCTTGGTGGGCCTGGGTTCTGGAATATGTACCTTGAGAGGTTTGGGCAGGCTTGGCTACATCGTAGTAAAGTGGAGGTTCTCTTTCTTTATACCGGTTACGGGGTCCAGACATGTACTCATTTGGTTCCAATGGTCCATGTCTGAAAAGAAACAGATGAGCATGTTACTAACATATAATTAAAGTCAAGCTGCTAAAGTACAAATTAAGCTGTTCAGATGAGACAGCTGTACAGTAATATCTCCTAACCAGACCATATCATTACCTGTAAGTAAGTAACTTAAAGAAGAAAGTTCACATTTTATGCAGATGGCACCATAATCTACACAGAGAAAACAAACATAGCAAAAAGACAAGGCTG